CCCAGCCGAGCACCCCGCGGGTGGGACGAAGGCGGGACAGCCGGCGGGCAGGGCGCTCGCTCTGTTCGACATCCACGAGATCATGCAAGAGAAAAGCCCTGTGCACGTCATCGGGGTCGAGGAACCTTCCGTGGGCACCTCCGTGCTCTTCGACGTCACGGATTCCCCATAGGGGAGGTCTGCAGGTGACTCTGAACTGCAGGTGTAGACACTTGGTAAGTGCACACGGGCTGTTCACGGAAAGGGCGCCTGGGGGTAGACGTGCCCAAGGCGACCTCGGATTTCCCAAGAAAAGGTGCTTCCCAAACCCCTGAGATCGGGGGTCCTCGGCTCTATCGAGCACAGGTGTTTTGCACTGTTCCCTCTGTGACCCCAAAAGTGAATTCGCAGGTAGTATAACCTACGCATGTGTGTAATGTGAAAATAATCAATACGCAGCCCGTTTCCTAAAGGATCATCAAAACAAAAGTAGCTCGTGATCACGTGTACCGAGCTGGTTCGGGATCTCTGCCTGTGACTTCAGGCCGTGACCCCGGGGACCTGCGCGCTGCCTGTCGCTTGCCCTCTGGCACGTGAGGTGTCACATTGGCCACAGAAATGTGGGGGGCCTTCCTGTATTCCGAGCCCACTTAGTTCCCAACCACATGTCAGCCACACTTGTGCCCGAATCAAATGACCAGCCCCGTGAAATTCCACAGCACTCCCTAGGGATGTCACGGCTTATGTAGAAAACCATTAGCTTGAAACAGCCAGCGTCGCTATAAGCCTGAGGTCTCAATTCAAGGGTGGTTTCGTCCCCCAGGAGACATTTTTGGTTGTCACGACTGGTGGAAGGGAGGGATGCTCCTGGCATGTACTGGGTGTAGGCCAGGGAAGCCGCTAAGCATCCCGCGATGCCCACGACAGCCCCGTGAGAGCCCTGGGCCCGTACATGCCGGGAGGAACACCGTGCCCAGCACGACAGCCGACGTCTTCCAGACTTTAAATAAATTGGCTGATCAGGCCTGTACCGACAATCGTAGACACTTGATTTGAGGGAATGATATCTCGAGTTTATGCACAGTGTGGTTTTTAGTCATTTTTTTTTCACTGTTTTGTAGCGTTCCTGATCGGTGTGGAGAGAGGAAGAGAATCCACTTATTTTTCTGAGTAGTCTAAATTTTAGCCTTTTATCATGGCCGTTAAAACGCGGACAGTATATTTTCGCCGGCACCCTCCCTGCCACATGTTATGTTCACATCGGTCCCAGAACTCATGCTATCTCAGCCGTGTTTCTGAATTTAGCTCTAAACACAAGGACTTTTGAATCGACAGGCCTCCCTCTTTCTTTTTCAGTCTTATTTGCTCTGGGGAAAAAAACGGGTTAAGCTAAGTTTTGTCCCCATCTCCGGCTTGCCCATGAGACCCTCCTTGATCTGGCCCGGTGGAACGACCTCTGGTTTGGCATCACGCCGCCGGACTGTGCCGAGGGGTCCTGTGAATGTGTGATTCTCACCGTTCTCGGTCATCTTTTCATGTCATACGGTGTCTCTGCCGGAGGTCTCCGCTGTCAGTGCCAGGAAAAGCCAGCCCTCGGAGAAAAGGTTTGTCTCTACAGTGCAGGGCAGGCTGTGTGCGTTCTAACGTCCACAGTTCCGAACTTGCCTCCATTCGTCTCACTGCTTTCCTCCAAAGCAAAGCGTTTTGGCCTTTGTCCATGCCATTCTTGACATAAAGAACATTGTGATCGCGGTGTGACCCTTGGCGTCTGACAGCGCATGGTGTATATAGACCAAGGAGTCAGGCCACCTGCTTTCCAACCGAAAATGAAATGCACGTCCCCTGGGACACTAAGTCACATGCTTCGTTATACAGAACAGTTGCCTTTTCGCGTTCATTTCCTGTCCCAATGCAGTTGCGTTCTAGCGAAGTTAGATCTGTACCGTAAACGTCAGAGGTGGGAAGGAAGGGACATTGACCACGGCACCGCTCAGCTCGTAGAAATGGCTCCCTGAAAACGTCCTGCAGGAGGGGTGGTGGGTCGGCAGAGAGTAGAGTCGGACAGAAGAAATCACTTCTTGGAAAAATACAGCAGCAGTTTCTGACGGCTGCGTTGGAGTGATTGAGCATGGGAACTCAGTGCCAGGTGTCACGTTGAGTGTCAGAACTGTCACAGCTTCTCGTGTCCATTTTTGTTCTTCGGATGCTGTGAATGTCACAGTGGATGGGGTTTCCGTGGTAACAGAGCTGGCTTTGCTGCCCATCTCTGGAGGTTTTGTCTACAAGGTCCTCTCAAAGAGGTGTGTCGCTCTCCACTCACCTTTCGTCCGGGGTCCTTGCACGTCTCCCTCGTCCACTGTCATTTTTCACCGCTTGTCCTCACACTTCGGCCTGCACCGCCTTCCATCTCATTGGTGACATGTACCCTTTCACCGACATGGCTTAGAAAAGGCATGTTTTCGAGCAGACAGGGCCTCAGTGCTGGATTCGTGAGGTAGCGCCGTTCTACGTGTGAGGACAAGGCACAGGGCAGAAATCAGTAAGTAGAACAGAGTGACTGTCCCGAGGTGGAGGCGGAATTTAAAGTCAACACCCGGCTAAGGTGGCTTTGAACAAATTCGGTTTTCTTCAAAGGCTGTCCCTCCAGCACCTCAGCGACGTCACAGGCAGTGTTTTCTGCAGCTCTCTCAAGCAATGAGACGGCTGTGGCTTCGGCCATTACGTCCAAATCAAGACTGGGAGACGGGCCGGCCCCCGCTCATCTCTGATGCCCGCTTAGGTCTCAGGGGCCAAGTCGGGGTCACAGGCCCAGCCCTAATGATGAGGGGGCTTGGAAAACTACTGCGTACCCGCAGAAAAGGCCTTGGGAGTGGGTCGTGCTAGGCGGCCCCAGCGTCTGTCCCCTTTCTCCTCCAGTCTCACGGCAGCCCCGTTTCCTTAACCAGGTACTGCTGCCGCTCGGCCTGTCCCTTCGTCTCCTGGACCGTCCAGCCTGCTGGCCGGGCCTTCCTCGCATCTCCTGGGCCCCTGGCATTCTGGGATCTGCCACTTCCTGAGGGCCTTCCTGTCCCCTCACCTCTTACTTGTTGGGTCCCTAGGACAGTGGCCAGGGGACTCCTGCTGTGCTCCACAGCCTCCCCGGATGTCCTCGTCTACACCCACGGCTTTGCGCTACTCACTCCCAGATCTTGGCCTCCAGCGCCATGTTCTGAGCTTCAGGTGGAGCAGCAGTGTGTGCTGCCGGGCACGCAAACCCGCCCTCCTGTCCCCGGTCCCTTTCACGGGGCCCGTGGCCCCCAGTGTTCCATCCCCAAAGCCAGCGGGTAGATGCTCCGTTGGCCTCTGTCACCTCCCTTTGCATGTCTGCCTCTCGGTGGGCCTGGCTCTACCGATCTCACCACCTAAGCATCTCAGTTCTTCGCTTCATCCTGGACAGCCCCGAGGGCAAGTGGCATGTCACCAAGGGACCCAGCCACGAGAGCCCCACTTTTGACAGTTTCTTCTTACCGTTCCTTCAGTGGTTCCGGCTGTGGATTCAGGAATGCTCCAGCTGCCAGTGCTTTCTGGGGAGGGGGCACCCCGCTGGGACTTCATGGCCTTCGTGGCTCTGGAAGCCAGGCCTGAGATTGCCCAGTTCCCTCCACCTTGACCCCAAAATTGCAACTCCTGAAGGGTCACATTTCCACAGTTGTCAGAGCGAACACCGCGTGGGCTGAGGTTACAGTGGCCTCATCGGGCAGGCCAGGAGCCGGCTCATCACCGTCGGCACTCGCCTCCCTCTCTGGGGCAGCAGAGAGCTGTGCAAATTTTCCATTTCTCATTCCAGGTCATGTTTTCCAGACATAATGTCCCTGCCGGTTTCCTTGTAGATATCCGAAACAGACGAGAAACTCCTCAGGGGAAATTACTGTAAACTAGTGAAATACATGGTTTTATTGATTTCTAAAAGTCATGCAAATTGTTTGTAGCAAAACCTGGAAAATGCACAAAAGTTAAAGAATACACAAGAGTGTGAAAATTTACTTAAAATTTAATTCTTCATATTTCCACCGTCCAGAGATGGTCATTACCATTACACTTTTGTTAATTGTCCTTGGAGTTTTTTCTTAATAGTATACGTGTGTACACATACATTGTAACACGAAATCTTACACACACAAAATATAGATGTATGCGTGCTCGTCTTCTGTTTGGAAAATCGGACTCCCTCCTAGTTCCCTTGTAACACGTGCTTCTTACTATATTTTGAGCATTTTCCTCTGATAGTGACTTTCACGTAGCTTCGTGAATTACCTTTCAGGAAGATCACAGCACTGCGCCTGCCACCCAGCGTTTACCAGCCTTGACTTTTATCCGAAAGGCAGGGGAGGTACTGCACTGTCCGGGGGCAGGATGATGGACGCGGTCTCTGCGAAGGGCAGGTTGTCAGTTGCTCTCTCAGTTACAAACGCACAGACCCTCCGTCTCAGCGAACCTGCCGCTCGGAGTGAACCGTGCAGGTGTACGTGTACGCGTGCACTGTTTGTACGTGGTTCTCACTATGGTACTGATTTCAAAAGTAAAAGTTTGGAACCAACCTCAGTGTCCACCATGGCACTAGCTCAGTGATTTATGGTGTGGAACGGAGAACTATGCAGCCTTCACCATGGGGACTGTCTTTATGTACTCACGTGGGAAGAGCTCCAAGGTACAGTGTTAAGTGGAAAGGTGTAAACAGTGTGTAGAGTATGTTTCCCGTTTGTGTAAGGAGGAAACATTTGCTTACACACACATACACACACACACACACACCCTCTGAAAGAGTACAAACTAACCAGTTACTCTTAGGAGAAATGGGAAAATGGATGAGGAATAATTTTCACTTTATATCTTTTGATACTTTTGGAATTTTGAAACATGTAAAAGTACTACCAATGCAAAAAATAAATTAAAAATGTCAACTCTTTGAAAATCAAAGTAAGCTTGAGAATTTGTTTCATTGTTTACTGTCTTCCCCCACCCCACACTAAAACGTCCATGCGTCTCGGCCCCACCTTTTCTATATGCACAGCCTGTGTGTGCACATGCATGTTAACAAAACCAGTTGAGTGTAAAATAACTTCAACTCCATGATTTTTCCTGCAAGCTGGCTGTAGCACATCAATTTCCAAGTTATTTTATTAAGTTACCTGTATCAGTCAGCCCGAATTATGAGAGCGCGCACACAAATTGTGGCCAGTAGCTGAGTCCCCCATTTTTAATTATCTCCTTACACATCTTCAGAGTTGTCTGCAAAAGATAAGTAGGGAGAAATCTGAATTCAGCATGAAAAGCAGTCTCCCATAGGCCTCTTGTGAGGAGATCCTGGATGAATGGCTTCCAGAATGTGCTGTCCAATGTGCTAGCCACTAGCCACATGCAGCTATTTAGATGTAACTTTAACCAAAATTAACATAATCAGTTCCTCAGTTAAACTAGCCACATTTCAGCTGCTCACTAGTTGCAGATGCATTTCCGTCATCATCTCAGTTCTTTTGGATGTTGCTGGTCTAAAGACTGTAGCTGAGAGGATTTTTGTTAAAACTCCTCTTCATGATCAACTGAATGAAGGTAGATATCACCAAGTCAGCCTGCACATTGGGAGCCTGCTTCTCCACCAGGTGACACAGGTCTCCCACCTGTAGATGACATTTTCATGTCCCACATTATACCCAGGGACGTCCCTTTATTAGGAGAAGGTACGTTGCATCACACAGAGCCTATCCATTGATTTTTAGGGAGTCATCGTGGATATACAGTGAATGTATAGGAACATTCATTGCACGTAGCTCAATTTTCAGTTAATGGGAATGGAGAGAGTGATTTTGTGATTTATAATAAACACATATTTTGTCTCCATCCTGTTTCTGGCACAGCTAAAACCTGTGGAATTTCCTAAGTGATAAGAACAGAAAGTGTCTTGTTCTGTGAATGAGGTGACTTTTGAACCCCATCTAAGGATGGGGTCTGGTTGCCAGGAGAAGCAACTCTGTGAAGGTTGGAAATTAAAGCCTCCCCCTCTCCCCCGCCACTGCCCTGACTTCCTGGAGGGCAGAGGGGCTGCAGGACGAGTCAGTCACCAATGGCCAAGGATTCGATCAGTCCTGCCTGTGTAATGAAGCCTCCATAAAACCCTAAAGGTCAGGGTTTCGGAGAGCTGGGTTGGTTCTGCTAGACAGCGACCCGCTTGGAGAGAGCGTGGAAGCTCCACGCCCTTTCTCCATCTCCCGCCCTATGAATCTTTTCCATCTGACTTTCTCCGAGTAAACAATGTTCACCTCTTACTTGCGGGAGATACATTCCAAGACCCCCGGTGGGTACCTGAAACCACGGACAGTACCAAACCCTATATATTCTATGTTTCTTCTTGTACATACATACCCCTGATAAAGTTTAATTTATAAATTAGGCACAACAAAAGATTAATAATAACTAATAAAATACAACAATTATAACAATATAATAAAAGTTATGTGAATGTGGTCTCAGAATATGTTCACCCTTCTTGTGGTAATGTGAGATAATACATACACGCCTACACGATGAGATGAAATGAGATGGATGCGATGGACAAAGGGATGACTTACATCCTGGGTGAGATGGAGCAATATTTTATCACACTACTCAGAACAGGACTCAATTTAAAACTTTTCAATTGCTGTTTCTGGAATTTTCCAGTTAATATTTTTAAACCGAAGTTGACCGTCAATAACAAACTACAAAAAACAGAACTACGGATTGGGGGGCATTATATAACCTGTTATAATAAACCAGTGATCCAGTGAGTAAACGGATTGCCTGAGATCTGTGAGCTGCTCCAGCAAATGAATCTTACGCAGTGAGGGAGTTGCTGGAACTTCCGGTTTATAGCCAATCTGTCAGAAGTACAAGGACTGGACTTAAATCCAGTGTCAGAAGGGTGGACAAAGCAGTCGTCTGATGCTATCCAGATAGATAGTGGCAGAAAACATTGCTTGTTGATGTGAAGGAAGACCCCCCCCCTCCGCCCACACACACACACATTGGAATTGGATGCAGAACCCAAAGGAGAGGATAAATTATGGTAAATTCACACAATGGAAAACTATGTAGCCACGTAACAATCAAAAATCGTTTAATGAAAAGGAGAAACCTTCTGGTGCAGTGGAGGAAAACACGATGGGAACAATCAGACATCTAAATTGGAAGACAGTTGGGAAAACTGGCTTGGACACATAAAAAATGTCAAGATTGCTATTTTAAAGCCGAAAATCCGTTCTAGATTAAAGCCAACTGGAGGACGTTATTGGGATAAATTAGCATGTGGACTGTGGTGCAAGTAAACGTGTGGTTTCAGCGTCGTTTCTGGGGTGGGTGCAAGAGTACAAACTAACCAGTTACTCTTAGGAGTAACTTGTTCTTAGGGGACATTTGCTGAAGGATTCACAGGATCTCCAGTGTTTGGGGGGTAAATTCCCCAAACTCTATGTCTATTTTATGTGTGTGTACACATATTGTGCGAAGAGAAAGAGAAAAAGAGAAAAACGCTGTATATTTTAAACATAACATAAACTGCGTGTCAATATACACTTTCGGTTAGGCTCATCGCCCGCACAGAGCAACCCGCAGGTTTCCACGCTCCCTTCCCAGCATCACTTCCCCCTAGACTCCATTTCCCAGAAGGCCGTTCACCTCGTGCCCCGCCGGTTCCAGGCACACAGCGCGCAGGGCCCTCTGGGAGGTGAAGTCCTGGGCGGATCGCTGGCAACTTGGCGGAAGGGCCTTTGGCCGTTTCGCGCTAGAAGGCGGCGTCGTGAGCGGCGCAACCGGGTTGCTCTGCGAGGAGGCGGGTGTCCGCGGCCCCGGTGGGGCGGCCAGTGTGTGAGGGACAGGGAGGCCCGCGTGTGTGCGCGGTGGGAGTGACCGAGTGGGGGTGGGGCGGCGGGAGGGGAGCGCGGACCCGGGACAGCCAGGCCGTGGGGCGAGGAGAGAGGAGGGACCGTGCGCGCCGACGCTTGCTGGGGGTGGGAGGAGCGAACCGTGCATGCAGGTGAGACCTCAGGTGTGTGGGGGCGTTGGGGGCGGCAGCGCGTGCCTGAGAGGCAGTTTGTTCTGCAGGTGGGACACGACCCCTGTGTGCGGATGAAATGCCAGTTGTGTGCATGTGGCCGGTGTGTGACCGTGTACGCGTGACTGGAGAGGAGGTGTTCTGTCTGTGACACGCCGTGTATGCAGGTATGACCTCAGATGTGTGCCTGTGCCCCATAGCTCTTATCCAGAACTCCCCGTTCCATCTTCCCCAGTCCCTGGCAACCCTACTTTCTGTCTGTTTTGGACGTTTAATATCAATGAGATCATAGAGTATGTGACTTTGTGTCAGGGTATTTTAACTGAGCTTAATGTTTTCAAAGTCTATCCACGTTGTGGCACGTGTCAGTGCTTCATTCGTTTTCGTAGCTGAATAATATCCTGTTGTCTGGCTACATCGCAGTTCACCTAAGCGATGTTGCTGAGAACATTGATGCACAGGTTTTTGTGTGGATTTGTGTTTTCGACTTGGGGGAGGGAGGCAGTTCATCTGTCTCAGAGGAGTCCAGGAGTATGGCTGCAGCCACACCCCATCCATGATGCCTGTGGCACCCAGCAGTACTTCATTTTCCAAAATCCCAGCCCCGGCACCAGGGTCAAAGCCAGGAGCCCAGAGTCCCACCACTGTGTGGGAGTAGACAGGGAGAGGCAGTGGCTCTGGGAATAGGAATCCACCCCTGCAGCAGTCACCTGCAATCTGACCTCTGCCTGGGACTAAGACCACAGGTCCCACCTCCTATCGATGCTAAGGCGAGCAGCCAGGAGATAAAACAGAGCGGTAAGCGATGGAGCCCAAGGAGACAGGTGAAGCGGACGGTGGGGTAGTGGTCACAGAGCCGGACATTTTCAGAAACCAGATCTGCCTCAAAACATGCCCTGCTCCCGCCGCTTTCACTTTACTGCCCAGCCTAGTCCAGGCCGCCACCTCCTCACCAGTCTCCTACCTCCCCTTTCTCCCTCCATTGTTCTCCGCATAGCACTGGAGTGTCTTTAAACCCTGAACTGAGGCCATCGCTCCCCTCAAACCCTACATCGCTGCGTAGGCCGGCATAGCAGGGTCTGCAAATTCTCCCTGTAAAAGATCAGATAGCAAATGTTTCCAACTTTGTCGGTCAAGAGGCAAAACCAAGGACGTCATGTAGGTACTTATCTAACAAGAACACATCCACACTTTTTTTTTTTTTCCTGATGAAATTCTGAACTGCGTGTGCGGTCAGCAATCCCAGTTGTAATCACTTCGGCGCCAGGGAGGGCCCCGCCCCAGAGGGAGCTGTCCGTGGTGCTGATGAGTCCCAGCCCTGAGCTGTCCAATACGGTAGCTTCGCGCCACCTGCGGATGTTGAAATATGAGTTAGTTAAATTTGAATGACATTACAAATCCAGTTTCTTTGTCACGCCACCTGCATTTCTACTGCTCAGGAGCCGCATGGGGTTGATGGCTGCCGAATCAGACAGCACAGCTTGAGAACGTTTCCATCCCCAGAAAGTTCTTCTAGAGCTTGATCGAGAGGGTGGCCACACAGGTGTGCGCACTGCTCAGAACTCACTGAGCTGAGCGCTTGTGCCTCTATTTAAAAAGTGTCTTTTTGCAGACACGGATTCAAGCCTGGCTGCGGGGGTTCAAATCCCCACCTGCCTGTCACTCTCTTCACCATCTTTGCTTTAACTGCTCTGTGCCCCTGTTTCCCCACTTGTATGACAGGAGATTCTGGAGCCGCAGTCCCAGCTTGGCCGCTACTAACCGTGTGATCTTCTCCTAGTTTCTCAGCCCCTCTGATCCGCTTATGTGATCTGGTACCCAGTCCTCGAGACCTCCCCTCGCCTGGCCCTCAGCTTCCCGATCGGTGAGAGGAGGACACACTGCTAGGGGTTTATCAATTTTATTCATCTTTTCAAAAAATATTTTATTCATCTTTTTTGGCCTTGTTCATTTTTTCTCTTTTCTATTTTGTGGTTCTCTACTTGTGTCATTATCATTCCTTTCTTTTTACTTCCAAGTAAATTTTTTTTTTTTTTTTTTTTACATAGAAAGGGAGAAGGGGTCAGGTAGAAAGGACACATCAGGCGTTGAGAAGTGACATCACTACACACCCTGCAGGCATTAATAGAATACTGGAATATGTCAGAGCACACAGATGCAATAGGCACATTCCTTGATAAAGACAGTACCTGCAGGGCCAGTTCCCAGTTCCAGCCAGGGGCTGGGCAGTGGTGCAGGAGGGTGGCAAGTGGGGATAGGGGCGCAGATCCAAGGGACAACAGTGAAGAACAGAGAGGAGTCCCACCCATCCCACAGCTTCAGGCTCTGGTGGAGACCCGGCCTTTGGCTGGAGAAAGTCCAGCACCACCTGGTGGCCACTCAGACCTGGGAAGACATTACAAAATGCAGCCTCTCTGAACTGCCTCCCAGGGTGGGGACCGAGGTGGGGTGGGTGAGTCTGCAGCCTCAAGCTACCTACTCACGCCTGCTGGGGCCCAGTAGAGGTGCCTGGGGAGTAGGAGGCCACTTGATGGAAGGAGGCAGAAAAGGAGCCCATGCTCAGCCCTCCACCCGCAGGACCTGTCCCAGAGCCTGTCCCCCTTCGGCACACAGGATCCCACCCCGCTTCCCTCAGCCACTGCAGCAGGGCTGCCATCAGCAAAACACATTTTAAAGTCTCTCATCACATTTATTGATTCTTAGGAGGAATTAGGGATAGCCTCCTACGGGGAGTCCAGCCTCCAACTGCAGCAGGAAGGATCAGAGCCAAACAAGAGTACTTCCCCAGGACACCCTCAGGAGCTGGATCAGCTTCCTAGACAAATTTGACAAAAGAGAAATGGCAGGGGAGGGTGGCGCCCTGTGCGCATCGGGGCAGCCCTCACTGAGGCCCCACGGGAAAGGAGCGGCTCAGGCAGCTGCCAGGCAAGACCGCCGGGCCCAGGCTCCCTCCGGCGCTCCACCTGCCCCAGCCACTCTGCCTCAGGGCCTTTGCACGTGTTGTTTCCCTGCCTGAAATTCCCCATACACCCCAGCAGAGACATTAACAGATGTGCTGGGGACAGGTGCAGGGAAGGGCACTGCCAGCAGAGGGCACAGCCCTGGCAAAGACCGGGGAGGAACCAGCCCTCAGAACCGAGGGGAACATCACCTGCCACCTGCAGCTCCACCGGGTTGCTGAGCTCAGACAGGAAGGGCCTGGGCCACCAGGAGCGGTAGCGGCAACTGTAGTTGCCAGCGTGCTGGGGCCCCACGTAGGTCAACACCAGGTCCGCTGACGAGTGGTCCGCCCTGTGCACTGTCGCCACCGTTTCGCCCGCCCGCCGCAGCTCAAAGGTGACCTGGGGCACGTGGCTCTCACAGCGCAGGACGGCATCGTGGCCCGGACTCACTGCTCCCCTCCACAGGGGCAAGAGCTGTGGCCTGGGGAGCGGCCCTGGAGGTGGGGGTGGCAGAAAGTCAGGCAAGTGAGGCCCCCGCCTTGGGCAGCAGCCGCCGCCACTGAAACCCAGGCCTACTGGCCTCTGGCCTCCACTCCTGCCTCCCCTTTCCTGGCCCTGAGTGAGACGACGGCCCTCACCTCGCACTCACCGCACTGTAACCATCTGTGTCCCCGTGTTGTCCCCTTCCCCAGGACCTTGCAAGGCCCCCGCGCCTGCTCTGAGGCTTCGTGGGGTCCCCAGCCTGTGGCACTCAAGGCCCCAGGATAGGTGAGGGGAAAGAAAAAATGCCCGAGGGGAACGGTGTTCCCTGCAGAGCGAAGCACAGGGCCCAAAGGGCTGGAGGCGGGACCTGTGAACCATGGCCTCTGCCCTCTGGGGACCTTGATTAAGAAATCAGAGCAACAAACAGACCCCAGGGAGGACAGGACGGAGATTACACATTAACCCTCCGCCCCTGGGGACGGGGCCCAGGCATGCGGGGAGGGTCAGAATCTGACGACATGGGGGAAACTGAGGCACGAGCGGGTGCAAAGACCTCAGGGATCTGAACGGCGCTACAGGCCTCCTACGCGCTCACGACCCAGGGACATGAGCCATTCGAATGCCAGGCGTCCCCAGCACCTCCGACCGCCAAGCCCACGGTCCCGTAAAGGGTCGAGCATGCGGGCGGGACGGAGGCCACAGTGCGTCCCTTGGGCACCAAGGGAGGCGGGCAGCTCACCGCGCCGGGCGGGAGGAGGTTCCGGGGGGTCGCGCGCGCCCACTCACCGTCCACGCGCAGCTCCAGGCGCGCGCTGGGCGCTGAGCCCTCGAAGGGCGGCGCGGTGTCCGCGTAGACGCAGCTGTAGTTGGCCGAGTCCAGCAGCGAGACGTCGCGCAGCTCGAAGCGGGCCTCGGCGCCCTCGGGGCTCTGGAGGCTGTGCACCCGGCGCCTCCCCG